CTGTGTGTATCCCAAAACCAACCCGTTTTAAAACACAAGTTCCCGGGCAGCCGGGCGGGAATTAAATCCTTTTTTTTAAAAAAAAAAAAAAAAAAAAAGATCTGCCGGGCATGGTGCTGTACACCTTTAATCTCAGCCCTCGGGAGGCAGAGGTAGGTGGATCTCCATGAGATCAAAGCCACCCTAGTACATTGTGACTTCCAGGTGGGCTGTGACTAGGGAGATCCTGTCAAAAAAAAAAAAAAAAACCCCAACAAAAAGACAAAAAAAAAAAAAGGATCCAAAGCCACTAAACCATGTCCCCAAATACTGGCATCTCTGCCTTTCTGCCTATCCCTCAGAGCACCAAACCTGCTTTCTGTCATTCTAGGGCTAGACTTCTTTACCTACCCAGAGTCTGTCTCCATGGGCCCAGCACGGTGACAGGTGATCAGGGTGGTGTGGTGCTTTGAGCCCTTGAAGCGGTCCATCTTGGTAGTCCAGAGGGTAGGCTGGGCTGGGCGGGCAGCTGTCACCTGCAGGCCTTTCTTCACCTTAATCCTGTGGAAAGGGTATGGGTGGTTGGTGAAGATGGGGACTGAACTGTAGACTGCATCAGAAAGAAGCTAGAGTGGTCAGCCTCCTGTCTGGCTTCTCCAGAGCAGGCCAGAAGGGTTCCACCTTAAGACAAGTCACATCACACTCCCCCTACCCCACTTGAAGGCCAATTATGACTTTCTACTGCCAACAAGCTGAAGGCTAAGGTTGATGTCCCAGAGCTTCCAAGCCCTGATCCAGCCTCATCAGACATCTCTCCACTCACTCTGGGCTTCAGCCACACCAAGAGTTCCTCCCCACACATGCAGCTCACATTTATGGCCCCAGGCCTTTGCTCAGGCGGTGCCTACAGCCTAGCCAGTCTTTCTTCTCAAACTCCATTACCCCTAGGTGGTAGTGGATGGCTTTCTCCCTTATTCTGCCCACTGGCCTAGGCCCTCAGGATACTTTATACTTCATCCAAGCATGCTGCCCCCACCACCCATGTTCTCTAATCTAGGTCATGCTTGCCTCCTCCGACCACAGAGGGCCCCATGGAGCAGCAGATGGAGACTGGACCTTGGTCCTCTATGTACCTCCGTAGTGGAGACACAGGGTTCAGTGTGTACAGTAAGATCTGCGGAGTGAGTGAATGATTGAGTGTGGGTGGGCAAGAAAGGTGGGGAGATATACCAGTGGGATTTCCACAAATCCAAATGTGGGAGAGGAAAAGCCACATTATACATCCTTGTCAGCTACATTAGAGGGTAGGGTTGGGATAACTTCCTGCAAAAAAGGATACATCGGGTGGGAGTCTTCTATGGGAAGAGGTAAGCTCTGTCCAAAGCACCCCTCAGCAAGGGTGGCAATCGGGGAACACACAGATGCTTATGCCCAGGCAGATACCCATCTCTGCAGCATTTAAGCAGTAGAACAGTATAGGGCACTGCACTTCCCTGGCTCCGAGCCTCTCCTGCTTCCCCTCCCACAGGCAGGGTCAGCCCACAGGACAGGGAGTTCCAGGCCCATCACAACATCCTGCAACTCTTTGCTTGGAGAGTTTATGCAAGATCCATGATTTGTGGAGGCCAAGGACTCCAGCAAGGACCCCAGAAAAAGTAGGTATCTGCTGTCTTCCTGAAGAGATCCCCATCCCCTCTTCTACCCACTCACCGCAGGGTAAGGAGGTTGGCTGTGAAGTTGTGCCGAAGCAGGAGGGTGGCACTGAAAAGCTGGCCCGGACGCACTGGCACATCAGGCACTTGTAAAGTGACTGCTTCATCCAGAGGTATCTCCCGGTACTGTGGGGGATCCGCAGGGTGCAGCTCCACAACACCCACTGGGAGAGCCTGCTCCCCAGATTCCTCCTCCATTCTGGGGCCACAGCCCTCAGGGCCCTCGCCTGCAGGCTCCAGCCTGTAGGCCAGTTCAGCCCGTGTGGTGGAGCTCTGGGAGAACCAGTGAGAGGGGAACTCCAGCTCCACCACGCAGGCGCCCAGGGATGGCTGTGAATGCAAGGAAGACAAAGGCTGTGGCTGGCTCTGGGAATGGTGGGAAGGAGTCTTACTCCCATGGATGGAAAAATAGAAGCTGGAGGGGTCCTTGAAAGGCAGGACTAGGGATGTATCTCAGGTGATAAACTAGGGACCCCAGGTCTAGGTCTCAGAACACACTGCTGGTCACTCCTCTGCCCCCAGGAACAAACTCACGGGCAAAGTAGCTAATTCCAACTATGTCCCAGGACCTGCCTAGAGCAGTTAAGAAACAATTATCCTTGCTGGGTATGGTGGTGCATGCCTTTAGTCCCAGCACTTGGGAGGGAGAGGCAGACAGATCTCTTGTGAGTTCAAGGCCGGCTTGGTCTACATAGTGAGTTCAGGCCAGCAGGGGCTACAGGGAGACCCTGTCTCAAAAAGACTGAAAAAAAAAAAAAAAAAGAAACAATTCTCTGGACCTGACCCCCCAAAATAGTAGAAAAACCAGGAAAGTTCAGGCCATTACTACACATGCAACTGATCATGCTGCTACAGCCACTCTTGTGTTCAACTCACATATTCCCTTTCTAACTCCCTCTAGGTGAGAACTGTTTCATCCTAATTTTATAGGGACATGCCCAAAGTCAGGTACCATGGACTGACTGTCTTAAGGAACCAGGGCTAGCTGTCAGGAAACCAGAATGGAGTCAGGTGGCTCAAGCCTTCAGACGTCACAGAGTGTGGAGTCCTCTCCTCTCTACTCTAGGGCCATGCCTAGCTGGCACAGCAGCAGTGTCAACGCACTCACCTGGAAGCGGCAGGCTTGGTGGGCAGTGCCTACAGGATGTGTAGCATACAGCCGTGCGCAGGGCAGGCTGCCTGGTCCTGGAGGCCAATCCTGCCCTTTGAGATGGAAGAGGACTCGGGCATGGGGCTCTGCTGGAGTCACAGCTGCTTCCACTGAAACAGCCCGCACATCCCAAGGGACAGGCCGCTGGTGGGGCTCAGTGACTCGAGGAGGAACCACCTGGAAGAAGCAGGGGGTAGGGGGTGGTGGGTATTGACAGTTAGATCTGGGATGGTGTGAGTGATATCAGGTTTCTAATCTCAGCCTGGCAGGTCAGAACTGTTATGGGCCCCAGTCTTCCTGTACGGAGGATAGGAAGCACACCTCAGCTCTAAGTCCCATTAGCCTGGGAGTCCCTGGGCTCCCTCCTTACCTGCTGAGTGGCAAAAGGTGGGTAGGAGGCTCGGAGAAGTGGCTGAGCCCTGGGCCAGGGCTGCAGGAGCAGAAAGGTCTCAGATCGGGAGTCCAGGGAAGAGTTGGCAGGTGGGTAATGGCCCACCTGCTGCACACGGAAGTGCTCGGGGGCATCCAGGAGCTCCAGGGCCACAGGCAGATAGATAGAGTCCGGGCGATCTTGGTTGCTGCCTACTGAGGAAGGATAAGGGATAAAGACAGGGTGGCTCAAGAGCTGGCAGAGACTGAATGGAGTGCCATCCTGAGGACAGTGAGGCTAGGCAATGGAGGGAGAAATGGGCTACAAATGTGCCATCCCCCAAATGTAGAGGAATCACCCCATTTCACAGATGAGGTAACTGAGTTACAGAGAGCATCACAAAGGCAGTTTGAATCAGAGTCAGAGCCTGGAAGGTAACCTCTCAGCCATGCATTCCATCTTCCACGGACCTTGCTTCTCTTTCTCTCTCCATCAGAGCCTTCTCAACATCTTCTCCCCTACTTGTGCCTACTATCACAAGGGGGAACTAAGGGGGCATAACTTTTCCTGTATGGGGGCCTATTCAGTAAAAGACGGTGCTGAGATGAGCTTTGTGGAAATGGTGACCCTTTCTCTGTTTCTGGGTCCTTTGCAGGAAATGGTTGGGCATCACTCTCCATTACTACCATAGAAACGCACAGCAAATTTCCAAATTTGCTTCTTTCTTCCCTGTCCCTACTGGGGATTAGAATACAGGAGTGAGACACAGGAGAGGTATGGATGAGTTTGGGAGTGCCCTGAGTGTGGGAACCATGAGTCTGGAAAGACGGAATGAATATACAATCACAACAAGCACAACGGCCCACTAAGACCAACTGCTCTGTACTCCCAGCACTAATGATTGAGATTTTTGGAACACTTAACCTGACTCAGGTACAATTTAAAGCATTTTACATGTATTAATTCTTTCAGTTCTCTGACGAGAACCTATGAATCAGGTTCTATTACTACAAACTCCACTTTATGGACTTAGGAAATAAGTAAAGGGGCTTGAGGTCCCATAGTGTTGAAGGGTGGACCTGGGAGGTCAGCTGAAGGATTCACCATGGTGCCACCTTGCCTTCTCCACTTGCTGCAGGGCAACACACCCTGTGTGTGGGCTTCCCATATGAACTGTGCCTCCCCCCACAGGGCCCAGAGCAAATGCTGCCTCCCTCTCAGGGAAGCCTTCTGTGGTCACTGACCCCCTTTTCAAGTCTCCTTACTCCAGCTCTGTTTGCGTGGGCTAGGGCTGCAAGGTGAAGATGCCACAGAAGAGTGGGAGATGGTGAAAGATTCTCTACCCTCCTTCCCCCACTCAGGGAGCGGACTCCTGGTCACAGAACCTCACTATTCTCAGAACCTCACTATTCTGAGTTAGGGTCTTGCTACTTTGCCCCCCAAATCCCTGCCTCTGCCATCAACTCCAGGCCCTGTCTTACTTGTTCTAGAATTCCCTTAGACTGGGACTCTCTCCCTAGAGAGGCTCCCTGGGAGCCTGGTGAGCTGATTTATGTCCTGGCTCTAATCCATGAAAGATGGGCCAGTCACCATCTTTGAACCCCATCTTCTCACTTGCAGAATGAACAGGATTTCGTGACCCTATGATCAGAGGAGGGTTTTGTAAAATGTGGAGCCCAGTGTGAAGTGGGATTGTGGGTGGTGTATAATAGTTGTGACAAAGCTTTCCTCCTAAGGATTATTAGGGCTCCCGATGGGTCCCTCAGGATGGGGAGCAGGTGGCTGAAATTAGCCCTAGAGTCCACTTCCTCAGAGCCCACAGCTGGGTTTGGGGTGAGGGGCTCTTTCCATCATGGTGCATGTGTGTAAGATGTTCCTCCTGGGACCCCTAACACCCATCCCTCTAAGGGGGCAAGTGAATGACTCTTGGCCCCTGGGGATGATGGCTCCTGGGCTCCAGTCCACCTTCTAATTCACTGCCTCTATAATAACAAGATGCCGAGTCTGACTCCCACGAACTTCCATGGTCTCCCATCACCGGGAGTCCAGCTCCCTCGGTGGGGGAAGGAGGGTCGAGAATTCTTCACCGTCTCCCACTTTTCCGTGGCATTCTTCACCTTGCAGCCCCAGCCCACTCCAAGGGCATTTCTACCTCTTACTCCAGCACTGATGAGTATACCTATAGGGGCTCGGGACGGCGGCGAGGATGGGGCTCTACCTGGAGATCCTAAGATCAGAGATCTCCTTGGGACGGGCAGAGGGTCTGCTTATCTCGCAGGTCCTAGGCAATGGGGTCGTTTTGCATTCCCGTGAGGGGCGGCTTGATGGGGGCAGGAGGCTAGGAACCGCTGGTTAGGGAGTGGTGGAGCACGCGGAAGCCAGGTTGGACTTCCCGAAAGAGAGGAGACTCTCAAAGGTGTGGGACTGGGTGGGTGAGAAGGGTGAGCAGCCGGTAAGCTCAGGCAAGATCTGCCAGGTGGTGCACAGGGAAGAGGCAAAAGGGCGGGAGTCCGGGAGCGGGTTCCCCAATAACCGACCTCAACAGGACAAGCTGCGGAGCCGCAGCGCTCAGGGTTTAGTTTGAGCCCGAAGGCTCAGGGATCCCGGTCAACGTCAGCGCGCGGCCTTGGCCGGGCCCCGTGGCCCCCCGCCCCTCCCTCCCCTCCCCTCCCGCTGACCTCTCACGACGTCCAGGGCGAGGGCCACCAGGAGGCAGAGCCAGGCACCACGAGGCCCCCGGGGGGCCGCGGCCAAGCGCCGGGCCATCGGGGCGCACATCCTTCCCACCGAAGGCGGGTACCAGGCGCGCGGTTCAGGTGGCCGCGGTCCAGCCCCGCATCTCCGGCGCCCGCTTCGTGCCGGCCCCGCTGGCCAGCCGGGTCCCGGCCGCCGTCCGCCCGCGGCTGCAGTTTGCAGACAATGGAGCGGGAGCAGTGGGGTGGGAGGGAGCTCAACGCCGCACATGGGCTGTCCCCTCCGCCCCGCCGGGTCCTAGTGCCCTGCGGATCCCGAAGCCAGAGCGCCGGAGGCGTCAGAGGTCCAGAAAGCCACCTCCGGGCGAGTGAGCAGATTGATGTTGACTGCCAGGAGGCACAAGGTTTGTTCTCCTAGGCTTTCTCTCCGAGGCTGCTTATGGAAGGGGAAAAAAGCCACTTCCTGACTCACCCCCACTCCACAGGCATCTCACCTGTAAAGGAATCTCTCTAGAATCCAGGGACATAGGGGAACAGAGCTGCAGGGGCAGAAAAGGAGAGAGGCCAAACCCAGCCAGATGACAACTCTGGGCCTGCCCTCCCGTGGGGGCAGATTGTTTTATGCCTAGCTCCACCCCAGGGAGAGACCCAAAGGGTGAAGGGTGCAGGCTGGTCAATCTTCCTGATGGAGGCCTGCCGCCTCCGGTCCGGCCTAACCTTGCCTGCCAGGTGATGTTGGGAGAGGTCCAGAGATCCAGCGTCTCCATGGCAGCTTAAAAAGAAAAAAAAACAAACCTCAAACATGCCTGGGCCCTCCCCGAAACAGCAGATGCACCTAGAGACCAAGTGAGAACTTCAGTGTAGTAAATTCCTCAGTCTGGTAGGGACAAATGGGAGGGAAAGCCAATCTTCAGGGTCCCCAATGCTGCAACACTCCAGCACCATCAGTTCCTGTACTGCTGGCCAGATCTGGAAGTTTCCAAGAGTGCTTGTCTTCCTCCAAGGTCTGGAGGGAAGGATACCAGGTACAGCCTTGCCTTTCTCCTTCTCTCCCTCCTTCCCTCCCTCCCTCCCTCCCCCCTCCACAGAAAGGGGTTTGGCAGCAGAAACATCAAAGCCATCCAGATTTTAAGTACATTTTATTCAGAAGATAATAAAATAGCGTGCACTTTATTTAAAACCAACCAAGCGCTGATAAAAATATATATGTATCATTGCAGCTGATTCCACATCAAACCTTGTCAGAACTGGGCATTTATTCCTCACATCTTGTGCTGGACCTGACAGAGGACATCTGCCTCTGCCAGGGCCTCAGAAGAAGAGGCCCCTAAAGGCCAAGGCCAAGAGTGATCAAGTACCCAGATGGAGGTGAGCAGCACATTCTGCGGTCCTGCAGAGGAGGACAGAGCAAGGGCTGCCCTGTGCTCTCCCGGATGTTGGGCTGTACACTGATCAACAGGTGCTCCAGGGTGGCAGACAGTAGAGGGGCAGAGTATGCTTGTAGCTAGCAGACAAGGCAGTGTGGGTCCTCCCGCCTCTTTCAAGTTCTCTGAAATCCTCAACCATCTCTGACGGCTGCCACAGGGCCCCATCTGCAGGACAGCTGCCCTTTGCTTTGGTTGCAGGGGAGTTGGGATTCTGCAAGGGACTGCTCTCTGAACAGAGTAGCCACAACTCACTTCCCTATGTACAGTGGCAAGTAGAGGGTACTGTTGACTGGGGTTAAGGCACTTGTAACAGATTCCAGATACACAGGCCTCCAGGGGACCCAGATTCTGCTTTCTTTATCCTCAGGTCCCACACCCCTTCCCAATGCTGGGTAATGAGGAAGACAGTGAAGGCCTCAAGGGACTTGGGATGCTGGTATGGTGGGAGTCAGTGATAGAAAGTAGAGAAAAAGGAAGCAAGCTGAGGGTGTGGCCATAGAGGAGCTGGGGAAGGCTGGAGCTGTGAGAGGAAGCCAGGCAGCAGCAGAGGGAAGCAGGCTAATCAGAGGCAGTGGTGCTGGCTGAGAGCAGAAGCTGGGGACCAGGCCCCTCCAACCAGCCCTGGTTATGGCAGGCTGGGTACAGAGAAAGGGTAGGGAGCTACCAAGGACCAGATCCTCCTCTCTCAGCTGGAGCAGGGGTAAAGGTGTCAAAAGTTCAGACAGGCAGGGGGCTGCAAGGAGGGCCATGAGACCCAGAAGCAGCTCAGCTCTTTGGTATAATGAAGGTGGCACTGTAGCATCCCTGTCACTCTTCCTCCACATTCCGGGATGCTTTGGCTGCTCGCCTTGGCTTCCCACGTAGCTCTTCTATCTGGCGTTCTAGCCCTCGAACCTTGGCTTCCAGATGGGTCCCTGAGCCCCCGGAACCAGTGAGCCGACTCAGCAAGGCATAGAGAGTCAGCAGGGCCAGAAGCATCAAGGCCCGGGTGGAAGGGTCAGGCACTGACTTCACCAGGGCCACAAAGCCAGCCACAAACATAACAAGCTTCAGGCCCCCCAAGATCCGCCCTAGCAAGGCCAAGACCAAACCAAGAAGTAGGGACAGCAACCAATAGATGGCCAGAGCCCCTGCTCCCCACAGCAGAAGGGTCTGGACTTGGCTGGGGCTGAGCTTCATGCCCTGGGTGAGATGTTCACCTGCAAGGGAGAGGGAGAGTCAGCAACCTAGAGGCATGGTAAGAGAAGAGAGGCAAGACCTAGTAAAGTGGGAGGGCCAACTGCCTTGCAAAGGCATAGACTGTTCTCACCAGGCTTGGGAGACAGGTGTGAATCCCAGCCTTCTGGCTGTGGGGTTCCAGACTTCTCTTACTAACACTGAGTTTCCTTTATTATATGAGAACAATTCTGTCTGCCTCCCTGAGCTGTGATTAGCCATATTAAAACTTCACATGATGCCCAATACCAGTAACCCCTGGTACAGTTGGTAAGAATCACTAGCTTGCTCTTATGCTGTACCTCCAGAGATATCTTTGGACTGGCAAACAGCTAGAGGAACGTGTAGCCCCTGACACGGAAAAACACCCACCAATAGCAAGGTCAGGCACAGTTCTGGATGACTATCCAATTCTCTGCCACTCACCTTCCAGTCCCAAGGCACCCAACAACTGGGCAGCGATCCCAGACAGGGCAAAGCATGCCACTGAGATGGCTGATGAGATGGCCCACATCACCTGTGACAGGGTCTGTGGAAAGAGACAAATTCATCATTAATGAGGCTCTTTCCCTTCCACATGACCCCAAAGCCTGGCAAGATCTACAGAGAAGTCTCTGACTCATTTCTCAATCAATAGAGATGGGCCTCGATCAGAAATCTGGGGACCCTGGACCTGGCTAGGGGGACCCTTGACCTGGCTAGGGGGACCCTTCTGCCATTTTCCTTCCTGACCCAGAAACCAGGATATCTGGGATGTAGTTCATTTGGTCAGCTGAGATGCTTTGGAGGTAGCAGTGGGTTACACTTGTGTGTGAACTGGGGCTCAACAAGTCCCATTAGTGGCCACCCCATGAAACTGGAGGCCTCTGAGCCTCCTAGGGAATCACAAAGGCATGTAAAAGAATGTCTGTAAAGGTCTGAGACACATCAATGAAAAGGAGTTGATCAGCTCTACTACATTATGGGGTGTGTGTGTGTGTGTGTGTGTGTGTGTGTGTGTGTGTGTGTGTGTGTATGCGTGTGTGTGTGCATATGCCTGCAGAGCCAGAAGAGGTTATCAGATCCCCTGGTGCCAGAGTTACAGGCAGTTATTAGTCACCTGTGGGTACTGGGAACCCAACTCAAGTCCTGCCAGGCCCGGTGGTACATGCCTTTAATCCCAGCAACCTAGGAGACAGAGGCAGGGGGATCTCTCTGAGTTCAAGGCTAGGGATCTCTCTGAGTTCAAGGCTACCTTGGCTACACAGTGAGACCCTGTCTCGAAAATCAAAAACACCAAACTAGTCTACATAGTGAGCTCTAGGCCAGCTGGAGCTCCAGGGAGACCTGTTTCAAAAAGACCAAATAAAAAAAAAGACTCATTTCCTAGTCTTTCTGGAAAACAGGATAATAACAGAGAAACACGGGGTAGAACGAAAGACCAGAGGGTAAGAACCACACAGTGAGGCAGCAAAACATGGGGCCTGGCAGGCTGCATTTGTGGAAGGTGGGACTCTGCATCAGGGATTAGGACAGAGAGGATGTGGTGGCAAGTGAGGTGCCATTGACAATGTCCCTCCTGATGGCTCAGCAGTTAAGAGCACTGGCTGCTCTTGCAGAGGATCCAGGTTCAATTCCCAGCACCCACATGGTGGCTAACAGCCGTCCGTAACTCCAATTCCAGGGGATCTGACAACCTCTTCTGACCTCCATGAGCACTGCACAACATGGGTGCACTTATACACATGCAGGCAATATACTCATACACATAAAATTAAAAAATAAATAAAATATTAAAATAATGTCTCTCCTTTCTGTGCACAGCCACGGCAAGAACTACCTTCCTTACCTCTGAAACCACATGCATAGTCTCAGGCCCCAGCCAGGTATCCAGTGTCTCCCGTAGAGATCTGCCAATCTGGGTCAAAAGATCAGCTGAGGCCTCCCTCTTCTGCTGGGTGGGTGGGACAAAGTCTTGATGGGATTGGGATGATGCTGAATGGATGAGGACAAGAGCCACTAGGACCATAAGGATGGCTTTGAACAGGTGCGTGCTCCATGACGGACTGCTGCTGGAGCCTGCCATGGCTGGATCTGTCAGGAGAGGGACACAGAGTAAGTAGTGAGCCAGACCTGACAGACATCCCTGCTCTAGCTCTGCTCTACCAGTCCTCAGACCCGCTCTCACAGGTCTGGTCTGCCAGCCCCCTTCTCCACTCTGCCCCGTTAAACTTAGAAAGAGCTGTTTGCTGAAAAAAGAAGCAGCAAAACTTGCAACGTAAGCTGGCTAACACCACCTGATCCCTGGCTTCCTCTTCTGTACCCTCTACCATGTGCAGATCAGTAAGCTAGCAGGTACTATTCTATGCCTTAAAGTGGCCAAGATCTCTCAGACCTTCAGGTACTATGGGTATAAAAGAATTGCAAAACTCTATAAGCTTCATCCCGAGAAGCCTATAATCTACTTAAGACAGACCTGATATAGAAAGCAACTTAAAAATAGCACTCAAGTAGGATTACCACTGCACAATTCAAAGAAAAATGCTCGGTTAACATGAGCAAATAAGACTGGCTACACATGCACCACTCGTTCTGCAGGGCCGTCGCACAAGAAAGCTGTTCTCCTGGCCCTTCTTGGTACAGGCAAAGAAACAGATGGGAGCACTTGTACAACATCATTGCTCTTAGAAGGCTCGGATCCCAAGCCTCTGCTTCCAAATCCTATGCCTTTTGGGGGTCAAGGTCCATGGCCATCTCAATCAGGGCTGCTCAATTAGAGCACCTGAGAAGGCCACGAAGTACCAGCGTCTGTGTCCTAAGCACACGGGTTCCAATGCCTCTGTCTGGATGTGAGACGCTCTCCAGATGATTCCACTGTACAAAGCTGAGAACCATTCTGAGGGCAAAGGCCAAACAAACTCAGTTTTTCCTACATGTTTACTCAACAGTAAACACTGAAGATTTCTGTGACTACCTGTGTGAGGTTTGGGGTTTTTTGTTTTTCCCCTCATACCAAGCAAGCTATCTATTCTGCAATGAACACAAAATGGGTGTCCTCTGATTCCCCAGTTTTGACACACTCTGCTTGGAGGTATAGTCAAATACCACAGGTTGAGGGCTCAGCCCCCATGGCCGCCACCCTCAGTTGTAACGTGGCCCCGGGTTGGTGGGTTGTCCTTTCCAAGGTTACTACCCTTTCATTCACTCAGCATTACATTAATAAACTCTAAAGAAAAGCTGTGCTTCAATGATTAAAATGTTAACTGGTGCTAGGGATATAGCTCAGTGGCAGATGGCTCACCTAGCATGCACAAGGCCCTGGATTCAATCCTCAGTGCCTCAACAAAATAATAAACGAACGTCAACTGCCAAATGATAATTATTGATACAGTCTATGATGCCTATTGACTTTCAGATCACAACAGAACGTGTAATGTCTTGACCTGTTCTTTAATTCAGTGCTTCAGTTAATATAAAGCATGTAAGTGCCTATGATGTCTAACTTGAAGACAAGTAATGTCTGTCTCAAGAACTACAGAAACTGAACCCAGGTCAAGGCCCATTATGATGTTCTGGCCAGAGGAAAGGAAAAAATGGAGCTGTATTCTTTGGGTGAAAAAACCCCACTCGGCATGTGGCCTCCTTTGCACAGTGCCTGCTGGACCCCCTTTCCCTCCCTGCAAAACCCCTTTCACATATCTGAGCTCCATAGCATAGAGATTTGAGACCAACAGCATTTCAGCCCCCGAATGAACCCAATTTCCTTCCCACCAACTCTCCTCTCTCAAGTACTGGTTTTCAAGCAGCGGGAAGTAGGACCTGGGCCTCTAACATCCTCATATGCCAGTCACAAGTCCCAGCTTACTTTATCTGTGCTCTGACTGCTTGGACATAAATCAAGGCTCCCACAACCCCTTCACTGGGTTCAATTAACTGGCTAAAGAGACTCAAGAATCCAGGGAAACACAAGCACTGACTAATCACAAAGGAAATTACAAAGGACACTGAGGTATACCAGCCATAAAGATGGGTAATAGGAGGCATGGGAATAGGGTGCAGAGTTTCCCTGTCCAGATGCTGAACCCTTATGTTTAGTTATCAGAAGCTCTCCAAGCCCAGGCTTTTCTAGGTTTCCGTACAAGTTTCAGTATGTAGGTAAAATGAACCAAATTACTGACCACTGAAAATCGACTCAATCTTCAGCCACTTTTCCTCCACAGAGGAAGTCCCAACCTCTCAACACATGGCTGGTTCCCCTGGCAGTCACCCCTCCTTTCCTGTGGTTATCTAGGGAACTCTCTAAAAAGGGTCTTATTAACATAAGGGATATGTTTGAAAGGGATGTCTTTCACCTTTCAGTCTCTGAAGATCTTGCAGGAAACCAGGCCAAAAGGCCAATTATTCTGATAAAAGGTATCCTTTAAAAAATATTCTAAAATTATTTTATGTGTGTATGTGTATTGCCTGCAAGCAAGTAAGTGCACCTGTGTCGTGCAATGCCCATGGAGGTGAGGTGTCAGATCCCCTGGAAATGGAGTTACGGACAGTTGTTAACTGCCATGTGAGTGCTGGAAATCAAACCTGGTCTTCTGCAAGACCAGCCAGTGCTCTTGGGGCTGGAGAGATGCTTAAGAACACTGGCTATTCTAATCCCAGCAACCACAAGGCAGTAACTGTTTGTAACTCCAGTTCTAGGTGATCCGATGCCGTCTTCTGTCCTCTGAAGGCACTGCGAAACACCAGTACACTTACATACATGCAGGCATAACACTCATATATAAAATAAAAATAAATATATAAAAATTAGATACAAACAAACAAAATTTTTTTTAAAGTGCAGCCAGTGCTCTTACCCACTGAGCCATCCCTCCTGTCTGACAAAAGGTATCTTTATTGTTCTTTGCATGTATTAAATTATACAAGATATATATGAGCTCTGAGCCAGGAAGGGTAGATGGAAACCAAAATACTGGTGGTGCTCGTGGTAGGGTGGTGGTGGTGTGTATGTGTCTGTGTGTGACAAAGAATGACCTTAACTTCCCACCCCCAAACTAGGCAAAGGGTTAAAGAATCATGAATAAAAAGCAAGAATGGACAGGTCTCGCAAGTACTGTTCATCTCATCTCATTTCATCTCATCTCACAACTGCCTTCAGGTAAGTATTATTATCATCTCCTGGTGATGAAATCAAAGAAAAATAAGCAGTGTGTGGGCAAACTAGTCTGTGAAGCTGGGTGACCTGACATCGGACCCCGTCCTAGTATACAACCACGCTGCTGTACCATGTTCAATTTAGAAGTGACTTAAAGTCATACAATAGATTATTCATAAGCTAAAACAAACTTGCATCTACCTATCACTTCAGGGAATTACTGGTGAAAACTGACCTAAGCACTTTGTGCTCTGATCTTGGCTGTAACATGAAACCATAGACAAGTTAAGATCCAACAAGTACTAACTTATTGAAGCAGGTGAGGATCAGCCAAGAAAAATGTTTGCAGGTCCAACTTTTCTTTGCAACCTTGCTCAAACGGCTCCAGTAAATCCTCCGTTCTCCCTCAGGCTCAGAAAGGCACCTGCAGCTCTAGGGAGTTTCTATGATTCAGACCTGATGAACAGAGCTCAGACAAGCCTCTAAGGTGGAAGAGAGGCCAGGTTTGGAAGTGTTTGTGGTTACCAGAGTATTCAGGGAGTTGGCCAGAAATCTGGAGCCATCTGGACAGAGAGGGAAAAGAAAGATGTTCCCATTTAGGAGGAGAAGGCTCCAAAAAAAGACTTCTAAAAATATAATGTTTGGGGTAGCTTCTGCCCCAGAAACAGCTGCCCAACACCCCTCCTGAGGCATGTAGAGTCAAGTGGGGTTGAAGGCACACAATTCATGTGGAAGGACCACAAGCTAGGGAAGGCTTCTAGTCTTTGGCACAAATCAAGAGCCAGATGGGTCCTGGCTGCCAGTGGTGGGAGATGAAGAAAGCACCTTAGTTCCTGAGCTATCTGGGTCACAACCATGTTGGGGACTTAAAGAGCAGGGTTGCTATCTTGGGTTGGATTCTATATCCAAGGACCTCCACCAGAAGGAATCAGGTGTCATCTCCTCTCCGCTAGAAGGTCAGGGTGATGTGAGCTACAACTCCTTGGCAGTACTGTTCTGTGCCAGCTTCAACTTCAAGTGGCCACCTGCCCCCATCTGGGGGACCTTGAAATAAACTCTCCATGGTAAGGCCAGGTGACCTTCTGAAGTGTGCCAGAAACTGATTCTCATAGGATTGTGGAGAAGTCCTATTATTGAGAGGTAGCAAGTATAGGTGATTGGTTAGTTTCTTGAGCTTGTTTCCAGATTCCCTCTCGTTCTCTTCTGAGTGAAGCCCAGGCACTATGACGCTGACCCACCATCTTCATGCTTCCTCATTTTGGCCTCAGCTACTTTTTCTTGATTTTTTTAAAAACAGGTCTCATGTAGGCAGGCTGGCCTCAAACTCGCTATGTAGCTGAGGATGACTTTGAACTCCTGATCCTACTGCTTCTACCTCCAAAGTGTTGGGATTACAGATGTGTGCAACCCGTATGTGGTCTGGACATTGAACCCAGGGCTCCATGTAAACACTTTACCAACCGAGCTACATCCCAGCCCTCATCAAATACTTTTAATAGGCTGGTCATGGTGTCATACACCTTTAATCCCAATATTCAGGAGACAGGTGGATCTCTATGATGTCAAGGCCAATCTGGTCTACATATCTAGTTCTAGGTCAGCTAGGGCTACAGGGAGACTCTGTTTCAAAAAACAAACCCTTTTAATAAAAACATGTTGTCATGATCATCAAGAACCAAACAGCCTTGGCCTCTGATGGAAGCATATCTAAAACTTTTTCACTTTCTATAATGCCTGACCTCAGACAAAAAAGAACTCAATAATAAGTAATGTATATTACCAAAAACTTCGTATGATGATTTATAATCTACAAAGTGCTTGTCATTTCATGATCTTATTTAATTCTTATGATAATCTTTTATTTTCCCCAGTGCTGGGACTCAAACTCAGGGTCTTGTACCTAGCAGGCAAGCACTCTACCACTGCCCAGTCCCTACAATCATGTTTTAAGCTATTATCCCCCCCACCCCACTTCGCTTAGATAAGTTAGTGATTTATCTGACTCACACAGCAAAACTGGGACTCAAATCTAGAACCCAGGATCTCAGTCTTGCCTTGTCCCATATTCCCACACTACCTTAGTAAGATCCCTGCCCACAGAAACTTAAAATTCTACCAAATACCATCAAGCTCAAAGAAGAATTTAAGGAGCCCTCTCACTAGGTGGTGACTCACTTGCTGAGTTTATTGGTCAAGCATGGTCTTGCACCAAGGGATAAGAGAGGACAGTACAAGGCTGAGGTCTGCTACTCCCGTTTGTTCGCCTACAGTTCGGGAGAACCCAGCTAGGCTGGGGAAGCTGCTTTATTTACTATGGTGGTGAGAAGTCGCTATACGTTCAGCTGTGATTTGCTCTGCCAGGGAAGGGTGGGTCCATCCACACACACCCCTGTCAGGGTTCCTTCCTCTTCTCTTTCTTTTCACGCTATGAATCACTACAGGGCAGGAACTGACTTGGTGCCCTCTGCTGGCCTTTGCTGTCCCTTCATTGGGCATGGCTGTAGGACAGCAGTCCTCAACTCTGGTCTGCCCAGCTGGACTGCCTGCATAGCCTGTTAAACAAGGATGTCTGCCCCACCCAGGGCAACCCACTGAGACTCTCCCAGGGAGGAGCTGAGCCTTTATTTTACTTTTTTTTTTTTAGTTTGTTTGTTCTTTAAAGCTCCCAGGGATTCTCGAGGGCTTAGCCAGTCAGCTGTTGAAGGGGTTGGCAACCCAGGGAAAAAGTCTGCTTTATGCAAAGCCTCCTAAAACTATCTGTAGAAAGGACACAGGCTGAAGTCCATCACAAACTAGCTGCTACTACCTATAAGCCTGTTATTTAACCTGAGTATCAGTCTCCTCAAACCTAAAACCTGCTGAAACTGGGTTAAGAGTTGCTGCTAGGAGCTAAGTCATTTGTGCAAGCAGTGTTCAGCATCCAACTTGCCAATACTCCACTACCTTGATGCACGTTGTAGCACTTTATCCCACAGCCTCCCTGTACCTCAGTCTGACCTAACTTTTCTTGGAATCCCTAGCACTAACACGGAATGACTAATAGGTGCTTGGCCCTGCCAAGAGGCCAGGAGGGTAAGACAGAGTCAAGAGGAGGAGAGGGAGGCTATTTTAATAGTTAATCCAAATATACAATGGCCACCTGAAAAGCAGCTATGCGGATGATCCTAAACGGGCGAAGTCACCACCGAGGAGAATGAAGTCAGAGTCCTGGCGGTCCAAGTCAGTCCTCGCTAAACCCCTGACAGCTGCTGCCCGGCAACTGTTTGGGGGCAGGGTGGCTGCAAAGGGGGCAGCCTTGCCGCGCCCTCCCAAGCCCAGACTCCAGGCGACTGGGTGTCAGTGGCATGTGCTATTTTGAACAGTACGTCCCCTGCCAAGGGCTGCGCCGTGGCGGCACTAGCAGGGACTGTAGGGAATGTGGCAAGGCCCAGGAGTTCGGGGTACCTGGAGTGGGGGTGGGGGAGGGGGAGGGCAACCCAGGTGGCGGGAGGCTGGGCCATGGGCTTGGGGGTGGGGAGCGTGGGGCTCAGCACCGGCCTCATCCTCTCAACCTGACAGCCGCTGCACTGCTACCAGACCCGCGAGAGCAAGAGACCCGCTTCTCCTGGGGAACACGCACCTCCTGGGTTACCTAGTAACGACGCCCCCGTCGCATAGCAACGAGGATCCGGGTCCCCAGTTTGCTCAGCCCGCCGCTCCGCGTTCGACCCCTCCCCACCCGGGCTTGCAGGCCTCGCGGCTCCGTCCCGGGCTCGCTGCAATGCTGTCGCTCCCGGGTCCCTCCTGCTGCCTCCCAGCTCCGCTCTTGGACCGCACTCACCCGGCTCCGGACACCGCTATCTCTCACGTGCGACTTCGCTAAAAAACGCGCCACCAAACCCGGCCTCAACTCCCGGGGCGTTTGTTTATTGTCTGCGCATGCGCGGGGCGGATGCAAGGGGAGACTGGCTGGCCGGTCCTGCAGTCCCAGCGGGCAGTGGGCGCATGCGCCCTGCTCATTCTATTTTTTTTTTTTTTTTTTTTCCTCCCAAAGATGCCAAGAAAAGAATGGCATCCAAAGTTCGGCCTGGGAACGGAACCCTGGGGCAAGAAAGGGGAAAGAAAGAAGTCTATCTGGGCTGCGGCGTCGGGGATACTGGTTATTTGAGGCGGGAGTCGGAGCTTATCTGCACCTGCGATGCAGCCACCCAGGTGGTTACCTCCGCTGGTATCCTGGGAAGTGTAGTCTAGGCAGGGCACCCGCGAGCTTCAGGATGCTAGGAAAACAAAACGGGAGGGCGGGCGAGCGGGCGTGGGATGGGGTGCAGAAGGTCTCAGAGCACACATCTGCGGCACACGATCGCGGAGAAACACGTCTGCCCCGGTGGAGAGCAAAACCTCACCTCCATTCTGCAGATGACTTCCAAAGCTTGGCTTAGAGAAGGAACCAAGCCCGACCCCCCCCCCCCCCATTTTTACCACTGAGGTAGCTTTGTGAAGGGGTAGGACAAGGGATTAAATTGTTTAAATTACACTTATTTATTCATTTTGTGTTTGTGATGTCTGCACGTTTTGGGTGTGCAGAGGACAACTTGTGGGAGACACCTTCCACCACGTGGATCACAAGGATTGAATTCAGGTTGTCAGGGTTGGTGACAAGCGCCTCTACTTACTGAGCCATCTCATCTGCCAGAAATTTTTTTTTTAATCCCCATCACTGGCTGCCATAAGACAGCCTCCTTTGATGCTAAAATTCCTTCCTCCGACTCAACTGTGCCCTACCCCCTCCTTGAATCAGCCTTTCAATTCTGCCTTCATCCCGGACCACAACGCCTTCGGCTCTCAGTGCGTCACCTCAAGCAGTTGCTTCTTTCCTTCGGATGTTCGGACTCATCCATGTTCATCTGCTCCCTTGGTCGCCTCCTGCCTCTCAACTGAGAGTCCTCCCTCCAGAACTGGCTCTAGTAGACTCCTCACTCCAATTTGACACTTGCTTGTGAAGTAGTTCCTCCTTCCAATTTTAGTTTGCCTGACAGACGCTATCTCAGACAGTTTCTTCCCACCCTTGTTTTTTTTTAGGGTGTATATGCCTTTAAGAAAATTAACATAGGTTCCCAAGTGGTAGCCCATGCTTTTTACCCCAACCCTCAGGACACTGAGGCAGGCAGATCTTTCAGGCCAGTTGGTCTATATAGCAAGTTCCAGGCCAGGCAGGGTTACAAGTGAGACCCTGTCGCAAAAACAGAAAGGAAAATTGACAAAGGGACAACCCATGAAGACAGAAAGAGAAAATTACAGAAACATGGAAAGGGAAAGGAGCCCCTCATCTGGGAGATTGGTTCGTCTCTCACCAGCCAAGAATCAAGAATTCCAGCACAACTAATGACTACTTAAGGCCTTCCCCTTTTCCAGGTGTAAACCTGTATCTTTCTAGAAATTTCACCAGAAACCCCTTTTACAGTAAAAGGACATGTCTTATCCCCTGTACAACCCTACTGGGTCCAGGTTTTATTTCACCAGATTAGAATTCCATGCAAGTCAACTCCAGAGCCACTCTGTAATCTCACTTACCAGAAAAGGAGAGAAAAAGGGAGAAAAATCTTAGCAACTCTTTGAGATGTACCTTGAGAGCCACCAGAATGGTATATATGGCTAATGTTAAGTCATGCAATTGTCATTTCCCCCCAGGAAGACTGTACCCTCACTTGGATATATCTTATCTTTCCGTGGATATTCCTTTTTCCTCATGCTTAAAACAATATTAAAATATCCTTAATAAACTCCAACTTTGCTTTATACTGTGGCTTGTCCTGGGCTGGAGAGATGGCTTAAGAGCACTGGCTACTCTTAAGAGCACTGGCTACTCTTGCAGAGGACCTGGGTTCAATTTCCGGCACCTACATGGCAGTAACAACTGTCTGTAACTCCAGTTCCAGGGGAATCCAACACCCTCTTCTCGCCTTCATGGGCATTGCATGATACGGGTGCACTTAAATACCCGTAATACACTCATACACATAAAATAATAAGTAAAAATATTGACTAGTCCTGAAACTTTTTGTGTGTTAAAGCTAAGGATCCAGTTTTATTTACCTAATCTGAGGTTCCTAAAAGATTAAAGGAACCCCCGAGGCTGCTCCTGGTGCCAATATGTTGTCACTTGTTCCCTGCCTGCCACTACTGACACACAGAGAGGGAAAGGTTCATCTAATCCTTCTGTCAGCTGTTTCAGCTGGCAATTTCAGAAGCTCTGATACTCTGCTTAATCCTCTGTCATTAGCCTACAGCTGTGGCCACTGAATCTCCCTAGGGAATGGAGATGCTTTGGCGGCTTTGGCCCATGTGTCCCCATATTTCCCAAGCAGCAGCAGTTTAGGCTTAGAGATACAGGCTGGGGACCTAACCTAAAGAGTTCCTTTCTCAACTACTCATACTACATTTTACATATTCCTCTTTGTCCCTGTCTTCTTTGTTTATTCCAAAATCAATAACCTTTGTTACCTTTGTTGAACTCAGAAACATGATAACTCAAAGTATGGTAGGTACATTGACTTCCAAAAGGCCTCAAAGCAGGCTTAAAAACAATGTATCTCTGACTCCAGGCCCTTGTCTTTTGTCCCCTTCCCCAAATAAGGTTAAGGAAGGGCTTTCTCTGAAGTCCCCTTACTGGCCTAAAGACAGTCACCCCATAAAGGAACTCAGTAGTCATGAGTCCCCTACCTGGAAATCTAATCAACCTAGGAAGGTTAACTCACAGGAAAGGAGGCAGACTTGGTTACCATTACTTTATTCTCTCTTTCCTTCTCCCTCTCATGTATATTTGACACAGGGTCTCATGTAGCCTAGGCTAGCCTCAACTTACTATGTAGTTGAAGATGACTGACTTTATGATCCTCCTGCTCCCACCTCCTGAGTGTTGAGATTACAGGTGTTTGCTACAATACCAGGTTTTATTCAATGGGTGCTGAAGTCAGACTCAGGGCTTTGAGCTTGCTAGGCAAGTACTATGCTAAGTTAACCCCCTCAGCTATGTATATTTCTAAATCCTGCTCTGAGACAACTTTTCTTATCTGAGAGACTGTGTGTATATGAGGTGGTAGAAACTGAACCCCAGGGCATTAGCTAAGCAAGTGTTCCACCTCTGAGCTATATCCCCAGCTCCACTCAAGATTTACCCTGGTGCCTCCCTCATTCATTTCTTCTTCTTTCCTTTTCATCAGTAGTCACCACTCCCTACCTAGGGGTCCTGAGCCCTCACTCCTTACTGCAACTCAGGATTGTATAAAATCCTCATTCACCTGGCCCTTCTTTGAAGTTTACCTTTTGTGGGACTCTGGTATATACATTTAATTAAAAATGGTTTTCCTCCTAGTTATCTACTACCGTTTATCTCATAAACTCAAGTCTTAAGATTTCAGAAAATAAAAAGGGCTTCCCTCCTTTATACCCTGAGTCCTTTCTATTCTGGAGGGACTGGCCTTTGAAATGGAAAAGTCTTCATGGAATTTCCTTTTCCCTGCATTCTGGAAATTGTCCACTTCTGTCACATCATAAACTCCTAGTATACACACACCTCTGCTGTTGCTCTTGTAGTATTGCTAATTTGGAGTACAATGTCCACAAAGCACATAGTGCCAATAATGAATTGCTAGGTACTTTGTCTGTTTTCTGTTGCTGTAACAGAACACCACAAACTGTGTTCTTTATAAAGAGCAGAGGTTTATTTAGCTAATGTCTTCAGAGGCTAGGAAGTTTGAGAAGATGACTCCAGGATCCGGCAGAGAGTATCACTATCACATGGTAACTTAGAGCAAGTGTGCCAGACAGCAAACTTTTATCTTATTTTAGTGTGTGTGTATGTGTGTGAAGAGGCCAAAATAGGGTGCCCAAGTCCCTGGAGCTGGAGTTACTGTTGGGGAAATCAAGCAGTTAAGAGGCCAACCATTCACTCAGAGGGTAGGAGAACTCAGATTTTATTTATGCTGGTGGTGCCCGACGAGCTAGTGCTCTGAAGTTCTGGGCCTAGAATTGCAGCTTTCCACTGGTTTTACAAGGTCCCCCACCTTATTCTTTAACTGTTACAGGATTGCTGGATTTAATTTACAACCTACATGACCACCAGCACATATCCTAAGACCATTGAGGGGAAATTCCTTCTGTGGTCAGGCAATCTAGTGTATTTATAGAGGCAGTTATTGAGGGCAAGGTTTAAAACATTCTTTATAACAAAATTTATCTCAGGCACCTCAGCGAGCAGGATCATGGTATTTCTTTCTCTTTAAAATTTATTATTTTTATTTTATGTGTATAAGTGTTTTGCCTATATGTATGTAAGTGTAAAGCCTGCAGAGGTCAGAAGAGAGAGTTGGATCCCCTGGAACTGGAGTTATAGAAGGTTGTTAGCCATCATGTGGGTGCTGGGAATTGAACCCAGGTTCTCTGGAAAAGCAGCCAGTGCTCTTAATTGCTGAGCCATATCTCCAGCTCCTGGCGTTCCTTTCTTTCTTTTTTGGGGGGAGGTCTTTTTTTGAGACATGGCCCCAGCTGACCTCACTATGTAGACCAGGCTGGTCTTGGACTCACAGAGATCCACCTGCTTCAGCCTCCTGAGTGGTGGAATTAAAAGGGCACACCACCATCCCCAATGGCATTCTTTTCTTTGAGATAACTTGAGGTGTTTTGTTCTCCTTTACAGCTCTTAGAAAACATTTGTGGTTTAACTAACTCCTAGCAAACATTTACTACAAAAGTCATTGGGTCCTAAACTACATAATCTTGATAAAACAATATCAAATGCATCCTAAGAAACAC